GGGGGAGGGAGAATATGTTTGGGTTGCAGAGAAAAGCAAGCGCCTTTGAGTACACTGGTCGCAACCTCTGCCCAGAAGAGAATTTGCCTTGGGGACGGATGGCCTATATAAAAAATTGCATCATAGAAAATATTTGTCCCTGTCCAGGCAACTTCCTGGCCCACCCTCCACCTGCAGCGGCATTCTTGCAAAATTGAAGAGAAGGACAATCATAATTGCAGAAAGTTGCAGAGAAAGGCAAAAATCATACAAACTGCAGCATTTACAGAGAAGGACGCATACAATTCAAAGCAAAGCGAGCCTGAAAAAGAAAAAGCAAAGCAAAGTGCTCATTTAACATCATTTATGGTACAAATCGCTGTGATCTGCAGATCTGATGATGCAGCGCTCGCACACCAATGCTAGATTAACACTTCTTGCCACCAAGTGACCATTGAGGATAAACATGCCATATGAAATGTCATTGTCGGCAGTCCGTTGGCGCCCCCTGACTGGTCGGCTGCCGAACCACCCGGTCGGGGTCGGCGGTCGGCAGCTATGCAACACTGATTGCCAGATATTGTGGACTAGTCGCATGAACTTTGATGTTCACGATTTCTGAGCATTTTCACACTTTGTGACTTCGGCATATTCTTTCAATTCTTTTCAATGATTTTTGCATTTTCTGCATGTTCGATTTTAGAGACAAAACCAGAAATAAAAGTGTTGTCCTTCAACAAGCACGACACACGGTGCTTATGTATGCACTTGGCCTATTCTTCGGTTTATATGCAGAGGAAGACCGCACGATGAACTGAGTGGCGATCTAAAGATCTAAAGCTTTGCTTGACAGTGTACCTGCCACTGTGCCGGCGCAAGTGAAACTCTGGGGCGTTTCGCTTGGACAAACTCAAGTGCCTCCCTGGGGGTCATACCACAATGCGCGACCTGTTTGTTCATCACACAGGGAATCCAAAGCAAAGCATTTAAGTAACTAGTGGATGGATAAGTCCAGGTAAGAAAGCTCTTTTTTTCGGCCACCAGCAGAGCGATCTCACAAAAAAAAAGAAAAGGGAGACATTAAGCAGCTGGGTGAATATGGTGGATCTCCCCTATTGGGTCAGGCCAAGGAGAAGCAAACAGTGGGACAAACGAACTCGAATAGCGGAGTGAATGCTCTTTTTGTCCTTGCTTGTCTTTTGCGGTTTCTCTGTTCATGTCAACGTGTCCAGTCCGATGGCCTGATCTAGAAGGATCTAGTATCAGGGATCCTTCGGCCAAACGGAACGAAGCATGAGTGATGCAACTGTTGCATCTTTGACGTGCCGGGGAAATAGTATCCGGAATGATGCTCCTAAGACCAGATAAGACGAACTCTGTTTTCCATGCTTCCGAGCCTATGGTTGTATATCGACACCGATGAACATCCCTGCTTAGACATAAATCTACAAAAACAGAACAGTGTCATATACTGATACTGAACTGCTCTCTCAACATGAGCATACAACGAACGAACCAGCAAAACAGTGTGCCTCACAGTGGTGATGAGGTGTAGACAAACACAGCACAGGCCAGCATCAATCACTCAAACGGCTGGGTGCATTCTCTTTAACAGGATAAGATTGGACGCTTCGAGCTGAACATGTAAAAAGTTCCTGAATACATGACGTACTATGTAGCCTAAAGCACTTAAATATCACGCCAAACAGGGTTGCACCCCCCGACGGTCGGCGGCCCTTGACTGGTCGGCACCTACCAGTCGGGAGTCGTCGGCACCCTGCACCTTTTTTGTTTTGTTTTTGGGATCAAGAACCCCTAATAACCCGACCCACACCCCCATAGCGGCCCCCAATACCCGCATACACCAACCGAACACTCCCGAACCGCCCCCAACACCCTTATTAAAACCCCCAATATCCTCTATATCAACCCTATACTCCCCTTATACTCCAACCCATACCTGCGGCGTATCGCGTGCACGAGAGCTCCGCACGTGCCACGCATAACGCACGTGTAAGCATGCACGCGCACATGATGCGACGCACCCCAATAAATAGGGTATATAAAAAACATTGGAGAACACTGGCTGAGGTAGCCAATGGTGCACCTCCCCACAGAACTAAAAATTGGGCTCGCGTATTCCTTGTCGAATAGTCTTTTTCCCGGAGGACCCCAGCAGTGCATATGCAAGGGTCCCAATATCTCAAGAGACGTTCAGCAATTTTCGTATGAAAGAGGAGCAGGCCAGCAATATATGTTCTGATTCCGAAGTCAGGTCTGCTTCCCAGCAGTTATGGGTTACAGGTTACAACTACTTACTACCGTAGTTCTCTCTTTCTTTTGTTTCGTTTTCCTACGAGCAGTGGCCCTAAGGGCCTTGCTCCACTCGTCACAACTTGCACAAAAGACAAAACATATGGCGGCATAACATGGTTCCATGTTCTAGCAGAAGATTCACTCCTCTCTTTCTTTTGTTTCCGTTTCCTACGAGCAGTGGCCCTAAGGGCCTTGCTTCACTCGTTCCATGTTGTAGCAGAAGATTCATTCTAGTTTTGCACATTTGGTGAGTAGTGGAGGGAAGCCCTGAAAAGCACGTGGTGAGTTGGCCTGCTACTGCCCAGAAACTTGCGTGCTCGGTGGTCCCATAACTGCTGAAACACGGACCTTAAAGTGAATCAACAGCATATATACTTGGCGTGCCATGACTTTAGCATGGCTATGACTACTACCTCGTTCATGGCGACGTGGCCCTTGCTGATTGTGTGCAGGGGCCTCTCGGATAACCCGCAGGGGGTTTGAAATAAATGCTACGGAGCAATTTAAGGAGCTAGTTGTTTACATTCTCTCTCTCTCTCTCTCTCTCTCTCTCTCTCTCTCTCTCTCTCTCTCTCTCTCTCTCTCTCTCTCTCTCTTGCGTGTTCTCACACATAACAGCTGTTTTTTTTTTTGTTTTTTTTTCGCATCGGTGACCAGCACACTTGCGCCGCAGGTATGCTCCAACCACAACCCCCCCATACCCCTCCCCCATCCCAAAAAAATTCTCAGCGGATTTGGGCTCTACTCCGCAAGCACAGTACAGCCCCCAACTCAGATTTGAAAAAAAATCACTGGATGGTTGTTTTCTCACTGGTCGGCAGACCGCCGACCAGTCGGCCCCGATTGGTCGGGGCAAAACGGTCGGCGGTCGGGGTCGGCGGTCGGCGCCGGTGCAACCCTGATCACATCCTTAAAAAACAAATAGATAAACCAAAAAACCTTGAAGCCCGATATTGACCAGTCGTTTACATAATAATAGGGCCTCCTGGCATTCCAAAGAAAGGGTACCCCTGATGGTAGCTAACACCAACTTCATCCAACCGTTGTGGTCCTTGTGGCCATCCTTCAGCTTGCTCCTTCCATTGTGATTCAGCCATCAACACACAGCTTGACACATTGCCATCACTTCCTATAGGTTGGTTACCGCCAGAAAGAAACAAAAGGGAGGAAGACAAAAATGTAAACCAGTGAACCCTCAGCTCACCAAATAACACAGAACAACTGTAGTGCTCCTTCCGCGACCAGCTTTACAGTGTACATAGATGCCCTGGCCTTTCAAAGTATGACCTGTGTGGAGGATTCAACCATGTTTCTCCCCCCCCACCCATGCACCCCCCCCACCCCGCCAACACATGACGAGGGGAAAACAAAGGCAAACAGTGCTTATCCATTTAGATACCACAGGACTATCAGTCATATGTAGGCATCCTATTCCCTGAAGGCATCTACACATTTTCAATCCAAAAGCGGCGAAACAGAAACAAACGTGCCAACTCGGTAGGGTTGTGTGTCCCACCACTGCTGCTGCTGTACATCCCTCCATTTGGTTCAATAACTTCAATTTGATCAGGAGAGAGTGCTGCTCAATCCCCAACATGCTACCAGACATTAACCATGACCCTACTACACCCGTTAGACTCGCGATAAAGAAATGATGCAGTAATAAACCTCACCGTAAAGCTTCGAATAGCAAATATCAGACTCTTTCTTTTTTCCAATTTCCGATGGACCATGGATCAGATACTAAACTGATCAGTACAGATCATACCTGCGGTGCATCACGATGCGCTGTGTCACGCACGTGCTGTGCATAGCGCACGTGCTTGCATGTGCGCGAATGTGATGTGCCGCACCCTCGAAAATGGGGGTCTGTAATTTATTTTGGGGAGAGGTGGGGCTCAGTCATACAACCCAAGCCTCCCCTATAAAAATTAAAGTAGTGAAGAACAAAAAGGAAATCACGGCCGCGCATGACATTACGGCAGCCCCCAATCAACAGGATCGTAACCACTCTGTGCATATGTCCCCTAATGTATTTAGCCGAATTTTAGCGACCTTTCGAGTCTGATATAGTCATGGAGAGGGCAAGTTGTGCTTGTAGAAACGTTTACTTCTGACACCCTCATCATGGCTGTATCGAACCCGAAAATCAAAAGAAAGAAAAGTGAGAGCTGTACAGTGGAGCCAGGCCCTGAAGCAGCCGTCCACTGTCAGAGCTAGAGACAGATGAGGAGGAATGGCTACTTTAGAGCCTTGCTCCACTGCACAGCTGTCTTTTTTTTTTTTTTTCCCCCTCCGTTCTGCCAATGCTAAGGGATCTTTCAACTGCACAGCATTGTAAATGTATATGGCACTGAAAGTAGCTCTGCTACATTCAAGGGATCAATTTGCCCAGAGACGTATTTAATGATATAAGCAGTGGAGCCAGGCCTTAGAAGTCGTTTCCCAAGTTTGGCATGTTTTAGGGCCTCGCGTCAGATGCATCCAGGTAGGAAATGACACATGTTATATGGCACTGAAAGAGTCTCAGCATGTATCTACAGCAAGAGCATGGAAAGTCCGACGAAACAGTCTGACACATGTCTTTTCAATGTTTTCATGTTTTTTTTTTTTTTTTTTTTTTTTTTTGCTTTGCAAATGGTAGGAAATGTGAATGAGGGCGTAATCACACTAAGACTCTTTTACTTATTTATGGACTTGATTGCGGTCAGATGCAGGTCCGGCCGTAAAAAAGGTCAGATACATTTAAGGTAGTGCTAGTGATACATGCTCAGTTGAGCAATGCATATGGAGCCGAGGATCCACAAAGTGATGAAAACGACTCGAATGGACAATGCAGCATCAGCAAAGCATCAACAAGCAATGTACATCCAGATACATATGAAAATAGCACAATGTAGCACAGCGAAGACTCAGAGATAGGACATGAACTGTCAGATACTGACGTGACATCCCATCATACACCACACATGTGAGAGAGGGAGGAGGGACCGCATACATGGAAGAAAGGTCCATCCGTACACATGCACATGGGGGAGATACCACGGATGAAGAGATAGGGGAGAGGCGAGATGAAGATGGAGGTCAGGGAGAAGACCAAGATCGCGATAGCGAAGTCCAAAAATAGTCTCCCTGCCGAATGTCCAATCAATGTCTGCCACAAATGTCGAATCAGATCCTGGGCTTCACGCCCAATGTAACCTCTGCCTGTAACCTCTCTCTCTCTCTGAAAGACGAAGAAGAAGGAGGAGGAGGAGGGAGGGAGAAGAGATGGAGGACGAGTCGAAGAAGAAGAAGAAGAAGAAGATGTTGCCCTTCTCGCTGTCTCACCTGCAGGTAACTGCCGCCATCGTGGCGTTGCTCCAGCAGCGCCACGATGGCGCTGGTGTTGCGCTGCTCCAGCAGCGTGTCGCCCAAGAAGTGAGCTACTCAAACTGTGTGTCTTCCCTGGTCTGGCTCAGCTACTTGCCTCGCTGGTGTGCCTGCATGTGCCTCTGGTCCTGGCCTTAAACGTGGCCTGCCTGGGTCCCTACTGGACGTCCAGGCCCTCCCTGCTGATGCAGCAGGGAGTGTCCGCTATCGGACAAACGCGGACCTGGCCCCAAAGGGCCTGCTTGCATCTGTACCCGGCCCAAAGTGTGGCCTTTGTCCAAACAGACACTAGGTCTGTTCGGACGTACTGCAAGTCCGAAACGATGCCTGAACAGACAAAAAATAGGACAGCAAATAAATAAATGAATGCTGTCTCAAATCGAAACCTGCGGCCCTTAGGCCGGCCGTGGGCCTCCAGGGCGTGCGCCTGAAGTGTGTGCGGCCTGGGGGCCTCCAACAACCGTCAGGCCCCCAAAATGGGGCCCGTGTGCAGGCTCAGCATGTAACAGCTAGTGAGAGAACGCCCTGAGATTCGCCAAAACGGGTAGACATCACTACCCGCGGTCAAGGAAATGACAACGACACACACATAAAGGAAATGACAATGACAAATAGGTAGCAAAGAAAAAGCCTCTGCGCACCCGCATCAAGGGCAGTCCAGCGCTCCCAGCGCGCTGCACCTGTGTGCGTGCGAGCGCACGCATCCGGGGGTCATGCACAGCGCCCTGCACCGCAGGTATGGTACAGATACTACACTTTATCCTAGCCAAAAGGCATATCACACTTCTTTTTTAAATCTTTTCAACTATTTTGTAATTTTCAATGGACCACGGATCAGAGATTGAACTGATCAGTACAGATACTGCACTTGATCTATTTTTAGCCAAACGGCTGAGAAAGGTACCACATATCACTCTCTCCGTTTGCACATTTCACCATTCATTGAGCACACGAGCATCTGATTGCATCCCACTGCTCTCTGGAGACCGTATCTCATCACACAATTCACATGCAAGTCACACACGCTGGAGTGCGATAGCACCAGGCACGTAGCCCTTGAACGAGCAGAAAACTTTGGAATTGAGAACAAAAGTCATCAACTATCTAGCATCCACCAATGGTAATGATTCCCAAACTCACTGACAGAATGCAATGGACTCTTCCCCCAGGAAACAAACCACAGAGAACAATACAAGATGCTACCATATGGCAGTGGTTTTCACTCTCACCCAGTTCAGTTCTGCTCATCTCCGCGGGATGCTCAATACTTTAAACAGGTTGTGTACGCTTCGTTTGCACATGTGTTTTTTGGATGAATCCGGCCGGGGAGAATGCAGCATGCGCCCCCAGCCCCACCCAGCACATAGCATTAAAAGAAATAAAAATAAAAAATAAAACATGTACTCCCATATGTGTTTTCAGGAGAAGGGGGGGGGGGGGGGGGGGGGGGGGGGGGGGGGGGGGGGGGGGGGGGGKAGGAGGATGAGTTAGCTGCATGACCGGGGGGGGGTAGGAGAATGCACCCCCAGCCCCACCCAGTGTTAGCTAGAACAGCATATGCCTCATTGTGTGGTAAATCTGGTGATCAATTCATTTCTATGTGTGTGTTGGACGTGTTATGCTGCATTGCATGCAACCTTGTGGTTTGAATCCAGAAAGAGATGCCTGGACCATGAAGCAGAGTGTATATCCATGACAGTTGCCGCTCACCTTCCCCCATCCCCTGCACTTCACTCCTCTCTCTCTCTCTCTCTTGAACTCTCTGCCTCTAGTACTATGATAATCATAAGCGTGGATGCATCTGCCTTACTCCTACTGCCGCACTTCTACTGCAGCTATGGCCGCCTGTCGTCTCCAACCCAGCCCCGCCAAACAGGTTTCCTGGCGCGCAGTCCAACTCGTGATGTCGCACAAGCAGCCTACAGCACTTCCACCTTCTCACGAATGAACAATATGCCTGGACGGAGCTGGGCAGTCTTTTACTATTGACTTGACTTGGCCTTGACTGGTACCGGTCGCCCGCGGCCTGTTAGCTGTTTGAATTTTTGAGGCCCCGTACCTTCCAGATTTTTCTTGGACACTGGACTCTTTGGCCTGGTACCGGTTGGGCTTTGACCAGTCTGGCCTGAGGGGTACCCGGAGTGACCTTTTTACGTTTCGGCATCTTCGGCCTCTTTTGGACTTAGGGACCCCGACCCTCGAACTGGGACCACGGGCCTGCAACGTGAAAATCCTTTCAAACTTGCAGGCTATGAAGTAAAAGATGTCTTTACTTCAAAACTGGAATTGTTTTTTTTTTTTTTTTTTTTTTTGTTCCATGTCGTAGTAGAGAGTGGATGCTAGGCCTCGGGAGGTGCCAGTCGTCGTACTCAACCAGTGAGGGGATCAGATGGATGGTGCCAACCCCAGGGACAGTCTTTCTCCAGGGGGCATCATTCGTGACCTGCTATATCCTAATCTTATCCATGGGGCATACAAAACATACCTTTGAGCATTCTGATGAGAGGGAAAAGTGAGAAGTCGAGGACGATGCAGATTAATACATACTATGAATGAAGTCAACAGCACGCTGAATGCTCTCCTGTGATGGAGCGAACAGGAAGTCTCGAGTCGGAATCTCAAGGTGGTCTATATTGTGCTCCTGAACACAGCGCAGAACACACGAGATTGTGGAACAGCATAGACATTAGCATCGTCAGCATCTCAACCATAATTGTGCAATTGCTTCATTCCCCGCCTCAAAAAAAATGGAAAAACAACACTTCGCTTAATGGTCTTGCAATGTGACCTTTCCGCTGGGTTTTCTCACCGCCTCGGCGCCTTCACTAAACCCACGGTCCATCCGAAGCTAATTGACGAACCAAAAAATGCATTTCGACGACCCTAACAAGTGACTGTTACCGGACGTTGTAAATATCAAATACGGTACCGGTGCCGGCCTTTGGACGATTGAAAAGTCGGGGCCTCCCACAGACATTTTTGGGCCGAAGTTAACTGTTTATCCATTTCTCTACCGGCCCAATCAGTACTCGTATAAGAAAACGGATAACAGTAACTTCTGATGGACTGGTGGTTTAAGAGAGGTAAAACCGTAAAAGACAATCCCTACCGTATTTTTTTCCTCCCCTCCCCACCCCCCCTGCCCCCCATGCTACCTCCTGATACGGCATCAACGGAAACCTCTTCTTGCAAGGTAAAGACAATCTCCCTACGCATTCCAGTTAGACTCAATTCACATAATATGATGCCATATACAGCTGCTAAGCAGAAACAAGAGGTGGCTGTGCCCAAACACATCAGCAATCATTGTACTTGGACAATCCGTGAAAAGACACATCTAGTCCCGTACCAGGAACAAGAAGTGAACCAGGTTGACAGTCGATTGCAGGAACCAGAAACATAATTTTGCAGCCTAAGCCATCAAGACAGGTTGTTAGAAACAGGCCTGCAATGTCCCATAGTTCGTCTAAATGGCCCTCAGTCCAATCAAATAAGGTCCACTCCTAGCTCAGTTGGTACACCCACCAACTGTTGAAATACAGACTCAAGTCCGAATCCAGATACAATCAGATGCCCAGAATAACATTGTTCTGATATACCTGGGGCCGGTCAGCTTCAATGATGATATCTCAAGGTCCTTGCCCTTTTTAAAAATGGAAGGATTTCACATTGCAGACACCCGAGTCCCAATCCTAGGGTCTCCAAATTGTCCCAGTTGGGCCCAGTCCCAGATGGTTCCAGCCCACCTGTCCCAGTAGGTGAGTCCCAGGTAGGGTCGTTAGGGTCCTTAGGTCCACAGGAGGCAGAAACATCGTGAGTTGATGTCAGGCCGGAACCGTACACCCAGTCCGGTTAGTTTCCAACCGGTACCCGACAAGAAAAGTCCAGGCCCGAAGCCCAATTTTGCAGCAGTGTCCCGGGAAAAGTCCGGAAGGTACGGGCCAGCAAAATTCATGCAGTAGACAAGCTGCGGGGGACCGGTACCGGTCAGAAGCAACCACGGCCAGGTGCAGCCCACATCATATATTGTCTTGCCTGAGTTGCGGAAGCACTGCTGGTTGCTTGTGCGACCTCACAGCTTGGGCTGTGCGCAACAGGGCCTACTTGGCGGCACACCAGTTAGGGTTGAGGAATGAGAAGGCAGCCATAGCCGTAGCTGACGTTGCAGTTGAAGTAGAGCGGATGTATAGGGCGCGCGCGCGCGCGAGAGAGAGAGAGAGAGAGAGAGAGAGAGAGAGAGAGAGAGAGAGAGAGAGAGAGAGANAGAGAGAGAGAGAGAGAGAGAGAGAGAGAGAGAGAGAGAGAGAGAGAGAGAGAGAGAGAGAGAGAGAGAGAGAGAGAGAGAGAGAGAGACAAGTATTGAGAGAGTAATCAGAGAGCAAAGAGAGAGAAGGAGGGAGAGAGAGATAGCCGCAGGGGAGGATACTTGGGCATGTACCTGATTAAGGTTGTTGTTGCATGCGCGGATGAGCGCTGGCTATCTGAACCCTGAATTTCTATAATGTGAGTATTCATTGAAGTTTCTGAGCTGTGCTGATTTGGTGTTCATCTCTGGTTTTAGTGTGAATCTTCATGTGAGCTTTCATTATGCATGTTGTGCGGATATTGAATCTGCGCGGTTCATGGCTGGCACTACCGTATGAGCAAATAGATTACAGAGTCATACGAACTTGAAGAGCCGGACAGCAGCCAAGAAGCCTAGGGAGGGGACTATGCGGCCGCTGCAGCCCGAAGGGGTAGGGCAACAAGGAGGATGAGGCGGCGGAGGTAGAGGAGGCCAAGGAAGAGGTGGAGGTAGAAGACTCAGCGCCCCGGGGGGTTGCAGAAACGGAAGCTGCTTCGCGGGAGGTAGGCGGAATGGTCCCTTGCAAGGTGGTCATGGTTCTCCTTTCAGTGGGGGAAGAGGTAGAGGCCGCAAGCCTTACCCAGCACACCCAGGGCTACTGAAGAGAAGCCTTGGGAGGCCATGAACATGACGTACGACCTGTGGAAAAAACGGCTCGAGGCCGGCCAGTGCCTGAAGTGTGGTGACCTCAACCACATTGTCCCTTCATGCCCTGATTACAAGTACCCAAAACAGAACAGCCAGTCGGGGTTGCAGTTGCCTCTGCTAGGCCTTCAGACATAGACAGACAGGTAGAAGCGTGCGCTGAGCAGGCGCAGTCCTGTCTGAAGGCCCCAATGGCAAAGACTGATGTAGGCCCCCACCTAGCTGGCTGTGCAGATCTCGCTTGTGCTAGGATCTCTCTAGGTGGTTCCCCCGCAGGCATCAGTGATGAGCTGATCACTCGTTGACAAGCCTGGGCCAAAATGAAGAAGTCGAAGGGGCAGATAATGATAGGAGCTATGGAGATGAGTAGAGAATGTGTAGCCGCCTTAGTTTATAACGGATCCATGCGTAGCTACATCAGCCGAAGAGGTTTGCAGAAGATGCATCTCAGCATGAAGATTCAGAAGATAGATGAACCGGTAGTCAGCAAACTGGTCAATAATAGAGAGGTGGTTGCGAGTGAATATGTCGAAGGGGTGAGGGCATACTTCCTGTTGGAGGGGGCCACTACGGTGGAGAGAGTTTTGCACTCCCTGACCCTCTTAGTGGATGACAACCTTCCCTTTGACCTGATCCTAAGAATGGACTGGGGAAACACTACGTATGCTGACATCAAGATGGGCGACCACGAGTGCTGGCTGCCCTGCCCCGGAGGTGGGAAAAAGAAAATGTGTTTATTTGTCGAGTCCAGCGTACAGAGCACCTTGTCCCTTTGCTGTATGAGTGGCCCCGCGTTCGCTAGGCAAATGGTCAAGAAAGACCTGGTTCACCAATCTTTGTCGCCTACGTTAGACCGGTGAGTGAGCAGCCAAAAAAGGAGGAGAAGACGCCACCCGAAGTCGAGAGTTTGTTGAGAGAGTTCGCTGATGTGGGAGAGGCCCCGACAGGCGTAGTTGAGAGCGAAATAAAGCACCGGATCGAGATACAGCCCGTAGCAAGACTCCCAAGGGCCTCATCTATCGTACATCGCCCACGGAGTTACATGAGCTGCGCAACCAGCTAGACGAACTGCTCGAGAAGGGTTGGATAAAGCCTAGTTCCTCACCATACGGCACCTCAATTTTGTCCATGCCAAAAAAAGGAACGCGACTGCGTACATGCATTGATTATAGCCTTTATAGGGGACTCGGCGCAGTTACCGTTAAACCACCAGTACTTGGCCCAGCTATGGGTCGCGGGCGTGTCCCGTTAACGCGCCGCATTTGAGGGGGGTCGTTCACATGAACGGCCGGTCTCTGAGAATTGCGACGTAGAAAAGAAAGAATCAAAAAAAAAAAAAAAAAAACTACTT